TTTGCATGATTTTCTTTGAAATAACTTTCCTCTTATCAGCCATGACACAATGAGTAGCAATTTGAATAGACCTACGCTAAAAGCATGGCTCTGTGCAGTGGTAAGAGGGATACATTTAGTTTGGATGACTATAGGGGCACTGCTGCCGCACCATCCTCTGCCCCAACAGGGAAGCATGAAAGAGAGACATCCTGCACAAAGGTCCATCCTCTCTGTCCTCAGCAGAATATTGGAGCACATAGCTGACTACCTCAAACCAAAATTAACCACAGGAGTTCAAGTTGACACAGAAAATACCTACTTTTATCTGCTGCTTTAACACGTTGACATGTCTTTTGTGTCCAGGTAACTCAGGGCTGCTCTCACTGAAGGGAATGTTGTGGTGATGGCTGTTCAAGCAGATCTCTGCATGCAGGTTTACTTCTCCCCTCCTGCAGAGAGAGGGATTCTCTCTCCTTAACATCATAATGGTAAGTGCTGAAAAGTTTTAACATGCTTACAGCACCAAAAAATAGGTTGCCATTACACACATTCCACTTTGAACACTGACATGGAGAAGATATTCAGGTAGAGGTGGGGTGTAACAAAATCCTGACAGTAAATGAATGTACAGAAATATGTTTAAAAAGGAATTCAGGCATTTCTAAATACTGTTTATAAAAGATCAGACTACACATTAAAAAAGGCTTTCCTCGTGTGAGAGAATTGCTCGAGAAGAGGGGAGACTTGGAGAAAGACGAGTCTGACAGAAGTTCTGGCATTGCAGACCTTGTTTGACGTGAGAGACAGTTACCAATTCCAGGATGGTTGGCATCTGTGGAATACACTTCTCCTTAGGCAACACAATCTGCCTTCCTAGCCCATACTAATAAGAGCGAATGGTGGAGCAGAGTGAAGACATCGCAGCTGAACTCCTTTGCACGTCCTACAGAGGTGGCAGCCTGGTGATGCCGCAGAGCTGATGGGCCAAGGATGGTAGCAGATCAGTTCCTTCTGCTAAAATTTGCTCATGCTTCTTCTCCTTCTGATCCCATTGTAATACCAATACACAATCACTCCTCACTGAGCACGCTCTCTAGATTAATAGCTAAAGTAAATATGACTAGARTCGCTCAAGCTCCATGTGAATGTAAAAGAAAATATATAAAAGGCAAACTAAGTGGGGGTAAGAATTAGGAAGAAAGAAACAAGGAAGTGGAGAGAGGGAGGAGTCCATCGCAACTTCTGGACCAGCCAACAGGTTGAACCCTTCTCCCCCTACTTCAGGTCAGGACCACCAAAGAGACTCCTCAAGATTGAGAGCCCTCTCTCATCTTCTGTGTGAGTGATGATTGTGCATTTGTACATTAGGCACTAGCTGAGGACCCCACACTGTAGAGAACTTCTTATACTGACATCCGAAACCTGTTTTCTAAATGTTGCATTTGAATAAATTGTGCTATTCGTGAACTCGACCACTTGTCTTGAAGGTGATCGGACTTACTGTCAGCAGACTGTGGGTGAATCCCATACTGCCAGAATCGAGTTRATAGTTGATCACACTATTGGGGAACTCGATTCGCTCCTAGGAAGGCGATAGGATCCACTGTTGACAGACTGTGGGTGAATCTGATACTGCCAGTCCAACCTATAGCTGGCACAGTATTCGTCATCCCTATTAAGAGATAAGTCCAGCTGCCTCCAGTCCCTCTGACCTTTGAGGATCGGCTGGAACGCAAGGGGATTCATGTCTTACCAGATTTGCCTCTCCCTCTTCTCCAATCAAACAGCAACACCTTGTCTGAAGTTATAACTTAATCTAGCCCAGATATAAAAAATGATTTTAGATTTAGGATTGTAAAGTTTGGCAGAGTTTAGCACTTCCAAAAAAAAAAAAAAAAATCTTGTTTATGCCTTAGGCCTACTGGCACAAGAGTACAAATTGCTTAGAAAGTATTACTCTTTTTTTCTTTTGGAAAAAAATATGAAAAAATATGTCAGATTGACAGAATTTGAGCTTTGGATGGATCAGCACAGCTTCAATATTAGAATTCTGTGTTTTATGATTATAAGCAAAATATTCAATACAGGTGATATATAATGGCTGAAGTAATAATCTGAAACTCTGTTTAAATTCATAAACTAAAATTGTCAGGGTCTGTTTTCTATCCCTGATGCCATCTGGCATGGTTTGGCCATATCTATTTTATTAAACTCTCTTACGTTTTAAATGGTGTAGCACAAACAAAACCTGTGCTCAGGCATTTTTCTGCAAATTCTGATTAGCACAGACCACAGAATGCCAGAAATTGCTTTAATAAATAAACGGCATGATTCAAAGCCAGTGCCCAAGCCTAAATCATAGTACTGCTTAGTTTAAAGTCACTGATGGGTTTGCTGTTATTTAAACTGTTGGAAAAATCATTTGCCCAAAGTCATTTTTGCAAGTGTAATTACTTTATTTTAGTTTAAATTAAAGATATAAGCATAATCTTTAAAATAAAGATATAAGATTCCTACTGTTGGGTGTTTTCAATGTTTAAATTGTTCCTTCATTAAAAATATATGTGGAAAATTGTTTCTAACAATTAACAAATTCAAAGTGGGAATTTATAAGAGCTTAAAGGATATTCCATATACTGTATTATTTTCTTATGGAGACTGATTTACACAAATTAGAAGAAAACTATTGTTTTCCAAAAAAGGAAGAGAACTCAGCTCACCAAAAGGCTCTAATAGAATTTAGTGATTCCATGAAAAATATCCAGTTGCTTTTGTAAAAATATCCTTTGATTTATTCTCTTTGAGCATTCACAAAACTGTTCTAAGAGAAACAATAAAATGGGTTATGAGTAGGAGAATGAGAAGTCCTCAGTAGAACTACCAATACATTTTCGTGTAACTATAACAGACTGAGAAAATTTAAAAAGAGAAACTGAGAAATGATGTGCAAGAAAATGCATGTACTATCAAATGGAATCAGCATGTTCCAAGGAAAAGGCAAGGGTGTGCACCAGAAGGAATTGTAAAAATAAAGCACTAGAGATATCTTTATAGTTACATGAAAATTAAGAATTTTTGTTTGCCAGAGATTTCCTTTTTATGGTCCCCTAAATTATGGTCCCCTATGGTCTATTAAAATTTAGAGTAGTCTTAATCATAACTTTTATATGCAATTAACTTTTCTTTTTCTCTTGTTTCATTCGATTTGCATGCATTTTCTTCATTTTTAATAATCTTCATTCTGAAGAACTTTTCTGAATTTCTTCTGAATGAAGAAAGTTCTGAATTGCAGAACTTTTCTATAGTAATGAAAGATAATTTAGTAAGGTAAGCTCACTTTCTGTTAAGGTTTTATTCACAGTATTTAGAAAGATCCATTATGCTTTTAGCACACAGTATTTAAAACACTAGATCTAGAGGCCAGAGTATGTAGACTTAGTTCAGCACTAACTGGTACAATTTTCCACTCCCTTTTATTAATTTCATGTTAGTATGTAACTTCATATAGGAGTTTACACCAGTGTAATGAAGGAGGAGAAATTCCATCACTTTTCTACCAATCGTATCTCTGTTATCTTTTATAGTTCATGCTAATAATTGAAAATTGATGGTAAGAAAGCTATTCTCGTTTTATTGCTATAATTTATGAATCTTAAAAACTCAATAAATACAAAAAGCAGAAATATGTTTGAGATACTTTGCATAAAATATTCTGCAACATAATGCTGTATTTTTGAAAAAAATGAGGTGATAGTTGCTTAAAAATACACAAATATATAAAAGTAATTTAATGTTTATCACTTTTTCTGAATACAATTTTAATAAGGGCTCCTCACCCAAGGGCTTTTAAAGCCCTTCTTTCCTTAACAAAGAGTCAATTTAGGCTTTTGCTTTTGGACAGTTCATTTGATTCCTAGAAACTGGAAAGTTCATGAGTGGAATCCACATACACTATGATGAAATAGCCATATACACTACTGTATGCTTTCTTGGTTGTTGCCTCAAAGTTACGCTAGTGAATAAGTGTGACTTTTATCACAGAAACCTGGAACATTTGATATTAGGGGGATGATAGGGGGCTACCCAGCAAAAATAAAATGCCTTTCTTCTAATAATTTTTCAAAAGGAAACATTATCCGTGCATATAAGCAAGCAATTTCAGAAAGGAGTATTAGCATTTCATTAGAAAGGAAAAATCTCACTTACCGTGTTTATAAGCACACTGAGTCAAGATAAGAGTTATAGGAACAAAATGGTAGATGGGTGGGACAGCGAAATCTTTATGTCTATCTGTGTTTATGACCAGAGCACTATCTCTAAACAAAACAGTTATTAAAGAAGCTGTTCACAATCACCCATAGAGTTGTTATAGAGGATGATGTCTATTCAGTCTATGAATGAATGAATGAATGATTTGTGAAAGTTGTATCAATAAAAATTGATGTCAAGATTTCAAAAAGAGAATGCCTACTATTAGGGTCCTTAGGTTGTGATCTTACACACGGCCCAAAGCCTTTCAGCTGATCTAACAAGCTGGTCTGACATTTTATGACACAATTAACAATATCTTGTGTATCTTGTGCATATTTGGTATTACTTCATATGATTAGAGTCAAGCATGTGCTTAAGTGCTTTCCTCAATCAGAAATAGAGTACTTCATGCTTTGCCAGAGCTAATTCTCTGGCCTTAAAAAAAAAAAAAAAAAAAAAGGACAAAGGAACAATTTTTTTCAAATGCAATAAAACAAGATAGGTACAATTCCATTGTAGTTTTCGTCAAAAAAATAGCTCTTCTCCACAATATGCTGTAGAAGTTTTCTGTCTCCAAATTTTCGAAGTGGACTGAAACCTCAAATTTTGGTCACAAACTTTGCAAATGCAGGTTTATATTTCTATGCAGCATATGGAGTATATATGACCATGAGAACAGAAATTGAAATGACACCACAAATATTATCCAATAAATATTTGCTCTGAGCTTTAGATTAATGCAAAAGACAACAAACTGATTCAGTTTGTTAACTCATCAGATTAAAAAGCGSTGAACAGTGTGAAGAACGTTAGCATTACAGATAACACAACTATAGGCTTTTTATAAAATCACAAAGTTGCAATATTGTGCATGAAATAGCTACTTTCTTTAAGAAAATAATTTATTTTTCATAATCACAACAAATAATCTGATTTCAGTTACTGTACATATATTTCCTTGCAATACTCTGGCTGTCCATAAAGACTGGATCCACAGATGCCACTTTTGCTGCTATAAAGGAGTGAATACAGTGTAAAACTGCTGTCAGATCCTGAAATTCAAGTTCCTGAAAGAGGAGGAAAGAGAAAGAAAAAAAAGAGAGAAAAATAAAAAGTAATCATATTCAGGGTTACATATTCTATATAAACACAGAAAAGACTGATCAGCAAATAATAATGGAATTTAAATGAAAATATGATTCTTTAAAGGAAAGTGCAAAATTAAAAAGTGTTATTTTTAAAAGACATATAATCTTACCTCTTTCAATAGAATGAATATGTCACTTTAGTTTTCATTCTTTGTGCTGCCTTATTGTTGGACAATGAAAAGAGATTCAACTTGCAAGAGTAAACATTCAACATATTTTAAAATATTTGAACGAGCAGGGATAGTTGAGCCATGTGTGGTGCCAGGACACAATCTGGAGGGGTTTAGGGGGATGCCTTTAGGAGGACACCTATTTTGGCCAGCCCTTGGGAGTCAGAGAATCAAACTGGTAGAACAGATGCACGACAGAAACTGAGGTAAAGTCACACTATGGTCAATGTACAAAAATAAAGGCTGGATATGTAATTGATATGCCAGACACTCTCAAATAGGTTTTGAATTTTCTTGACTTATGTAACTTGCATTTAATTACTTGTGCACAAATTACAGAATTCTTATTTCCCAACTTACCCAACCAGAAATGGCGTGACTTTCTGGCAGAAATACAGCAAATACAGAGTGAAAATGTGTTTATTGTACATTATGTTATTATATGTGAGATCTGCATTGRTAAGTATGTTACATGGATATATGGGGGTGCTTTTTGTTTGAAGAGTTTTGGTTTCATCAGGAAATTTAGTTAAAGGCATAGATTACATAGGAGTTTATCATGCACACTCTATATGCTTTCTTTTAAGAAGAAACAAAAGAACTGGACCTTYGTTTTTCCTATCAGAATATTTTATAATCATCTTTCAAACAAATAATTTTAGAGGTATAAAGTTGCCCCAAATGATATGTCTGGGATTCAAGGTTAGTATTCAGGAAAAGCTAATAATCACATTAATTTGGTATCAAAGGCTATAGATTTACTTGGCAGAAGTAGCTTTGTTACTAATAATGAATATCTTTAACTGTTAACTATTTATGTCATTTCATTATGTCATACTTAAGATGCCCAGGTCATACTCAAGGAATCAGTAATTGAAATTACTGGAAAAATTCAGGAGGAGGAGAGTTACTCAGTCATGAGTAATGAYCTCGGGATCAGGCCAAGCTTACTAAGACACACTTTTGGGAAATGAAGATATCGTTCCACGTCAAATTTGGTCATAAAAAGTATAATGCATTTATATGGCACCTTTTATCTTTCAGGGACCCAGAAATCCATAGTTACCACAGATATTTTTAAATTGGAGCAGGATGATAGAGGTCATCTTTATGTACTATAACCTACAACTTTTTAAACTACCACAAGTAAACTGAAATTCTGCTTTTCATCTTGTCCAGATTTATGGTGTTCACCAAAAGAAGTTTGGCATTTTAGAGATTTATTTTCCCATCATGGGATTTTTTTTTCCCAATATCTATTACTGTCATATTTCCAACTCTCTTTTGATTAAGCACTCCTAGAGATAAATAGCTTTTTGTTTCTTTCCAACAGCTTTATTTTATTGACTTTTTTCTTTGAGATGCTTAGCTTGATTCCCTCAGAAGCTAAAATAATGAGACAGATGTCCTTGTAAACATATTGATACTTGAACATACTGCGCAGTAAACAGCAGCCCTTTTTTTATGCTATGGTGACAGATAACTGTATTATTTTTAATAAGTATTTTACATATCTCTGTTGTATGGTAGATTTTTACTGTCTCCTCTTTGATGACAGCAAAGTATTATCAAAATGCTGGATATACACCCCCAAGGAAGGTACACAGCAACTATCTGAGGTGTTGATACACAATAAATAATACTGTGATTTCATTACTGGAAATCAACTTGTGAATAAGATTGGCAAGCCAGGATAACTTTGTTCAAGGAAAATCTGCAAATTAGATTAGCCAKGTTTCTTTGCTTCTGCTTGGCAGAATCCCCAGGGTAAACTAAATATACTTTGTATTGAAAAAGCTGTACCTGGCTCAGTAGAAATCAAAAAGCTATTTAGATTTGTTAAAAAGGCACAGTTGATAAACAGTGATGCTGGACACAATATTTCAATTTAAATATAGGGCAAATTGCTTGAATTCTCCCTTAGACAAGTGCTCATCAGAGTTTTCACATGAAATAAGAGCTCAGAAAGAATAAAAAGAACTGACCAGGAATTATAAATGATTTTAAAAAATCCTGTTCAATCTTTCTTCATTAAAACTATCACAAATACAGGAGATCACTAMTGATTTTTGTGTACTAGGCTGTAAATAGGAGAACGAAAGTTGTGGATACTTATTCTGCTGCGCATATTGCAGAAAAAAAACAATGTTTGCCATTTTGAGAAATAGTCAGGACTCCTGATGGAGTTATGAAAAGAAAAGTAGAAAGTGTCTGATCAGGCACAAGTGGAAAATAAAGTAAAAATGGGGGGAGAAGGGGAATGTAACTTATCAGACTTAGCATTTGAGGGCTCTACTTCATGCTGAAGATGAGACTCTACTGATTTTTTCAATCTATTGAGCACAGGTTCTTTACAACCTCAGGCACATGTAGTTTATTGTCTCAGTGATTTTATTTCCCACTATGCACATTTTTTATCCTCAGACAAATGTAGTTTCTCATTATTGTCTACTTTCTCCAACATAAGGTGGCAGTAAACAATATTACTATGCAGTAAGAGCGATAGAATGGTATTCAGCAGGTTCCCAAGATATGCTCTTCCCGAAGTGTAACAGGCATCACAAGTGCCTTTATCTTCTGTGAGACATCCAGGAAAGCTAGAGGGAAAGGCCTGCTCAGATATTGTAGCCTGGGGACAGAGAAAGTTTTCGCAACCAGCTGTCCTCCTTCTGGTGCTTGCTCAACACAGACAGAAGCCCCAGAGAACACTGTTTTCAGCCACAAGTCCTGCAGAGCATATTTACGTACAGAGTTTTAGATATATGTAATGCATGCAATCCTTGTGGCTCATCATCCACATTTTAATCACATTTTAATTCTTTCCAGAATTTGGGAATCTAAAAGTTTCTCAACAAAATAGCTCAGAGACTTTGCTAACAGAAGTGAAGTAATTTTCTATTCCTTTCAATAGCTGCTCTCTGAAATAATTGCTAACCAGTTTTCCTATAGCTTTCAAACAAACAAACAAAAAAAAAAAAAAAAACCAAAATAACAGGCATTATGCATTGTCATTTTTCAAGCTATAACTATTAAATTAAAGTAACAAATAATTTAAAACAACTTATAATGGGATATAGTATGTCACTACTACATTTCTGTGTTTGTCTTCTGCATAGTGGGTGAACATTTTAGTCTTTATAATTACCGCAATAAAAATCACATTTTTTTTTTTATCTGAAAGCAACTAGCTCAGAAGAATGGATTACTGAAATGCGACAAAAAATTAAGTAAACTTATATGAGGTGTCTAGATCTGATTCAGGTCTTTGAAAACTGAATAAATATTCAACTTTTGTWGCTTTTGTGGCTGAAAACAAGGCTCTGCTTTCAGGGTATGTAAAACATTCCATGGATCTGCAATGTAATTCAAGCTACTCTCCAACTTCCTATGGCCCAGAAACTATCAGCATCTCTAGTCAGTCAGGGAAAGGTTATCATAGTATCATATTCAGAAATATGTTGCTACTTGTGTATATATTTTTTTACAGTAAATTAACTTTACTTACAGTAAAGTAACTTACTTACAGTAAATTACAGTAAAATTACATAGCATGATTTAAATGCTGCACTGGACATGCTTCTGCATTATCAAAATATGAACATCCTTGTATCCTCTAGGATGTGATGCAAAAATATAAGGACTCCTGGGAAAGGCARGTGGATATTCCAGCTTTATTCAAATAAGACAGAATTGTTTATGTAGGGAAGAAGCACATTTTGATAAGAGGTCAGACTGCTTTGTTAAAAAATGAAAAGAGATGAAGGGAGAGAAAGGAAAAAGGAGAGAGATAATGGAGATAGAAGAGAAAAAGGAGAGAGAGAGGAGAAAGGAAAGGAAGAAAGTAAGAAAGGGAGACAGACAGCTTCTCGCTGCAGCTCTACATATTTTCTGTCATGCTGCACCTCCATTTCTGTGGTAAACTTGCTGCTGTTCCTATGAATTGCATAAAAGGTAAGAAAGGATATAATATCCCTTATTTAGAATAGAACAATCCATCCACTTTAGAAGTTCTCATTCTGAAATGTGTTAAAGGCTATGAATCCCTATGAATTTAATGGAAATTACAGACTTCACTTCCAGGATTATAAAATAGTGGCAAATATAAAACACTCCTACAMTCTAATAAAAAATAATAGAAGCATAAACTGATATTACTGATGAGTTGAATGTGGMACTTCTAACATACATGTCTACTTAAAAAAGAAGAAAATAGTGTAACATTAGAAACACGTAAAACTCAATCTTCTGCTCTCGCATGCTTGTTAGCCAACATATTAAGAAAAAATATAATAATAAATAAAGAACATTTTTGAGAAGTTATACCAAAGTGAACACTTACACTTAGATAATGAGCAATATTGGCATTAAGTTACTGAAGTATTCATTCGAGCCTCCTACTCAAAATCAGATTTCCTTGTGAAAGAAAAATGAAGAATAAAATGTGAAAATCCCTTGAGGAACAGAAGTCCAGGGAATATGTATTATAACTTCTGTGGCATAATAAAAAACTGCTTATTCTATTTCAACTGACAGATACGGARCATGTGTAGAAATAAGTTTCTAAATATATTTTATTGAACAGATGTAAATAAATACAAATTAATGTAAATATTGTAAGAGAAATTTAGTGCCATTATGTAACTTTCATTGTTCAAATTTKCTGAAACTGGAATGAAGAACATACACATTTTTTTCAGTGGAACACAATCCTTAATAAGCCTTGGCATATSAGTCTGGGATGGCACAGGG